TAAATGTGAAATCATTCAACTAAATGTGAAATGATTCAACAAGATGTGAAATGATTCAACAAGATGTGAAATGATTCAACTAAATGTGAAATGATTCGTGTCCACGTGAACTGACACGACATGTTTTGAACTGACGTAAATTGTGCGGTCTTGGCACGTCTTGTTGTGAAGTCATTCATCAAGTTGTGCAATCTCGTTCCCAGAGTATGCCTGTTCGCGGGTTAGGTAGTGCCACTACCTAACCCGCAAACAGGCATACTCTGGGAACGAGATTGCAAGTTGTGAAGTGAATCAACAAGATGCTTCCGTCTTATTGATTAAACTTCCTTCGAAGAAAATTTACGGAAATCACAAACAGCTGGGAAATTTGTTGCGCATGCGCCAGATTTCCATTGAAACTCTCTGATTGAAACTCGAAGATTTCCCCGAAGAAATATTACGAGATGTTCGTGGTTGTTGTATATTTTTGAATGCCTGTTTAATCTTTATACTTTTTTTGCTTGAGACAAAGACAAAGTAAAATGTACTCTACGTTTCCAGTGTATAGAATATCTCGTTTGAACAGCAATAGAATATTATAATCTTGACACAAACAAGAAGACATTTGACACGCTTTTTTAAAATCTGTAGTCATGCCTGACCGAGGTATAAAAGCCAATCGTCGCGATCTTGACAGCCTTGTCAAATGCAAAACAAGTACAAATTTGGATTCAAACAGAAAGAAGTTCAATGTTCATACAACTAACATATATTCTATACAAATACGGGTGGTTTAAAATGTTTTCAATTGAATTTTCAAAGCTTTTATCGCTATGATAATCAAACTGTGAACTTGATGCCGCAGTTTTGTTAACGCTTGCGAATGCAAAATAACTTCCCGTAAACAGAGCATTTCTACACAAAACTCTCGCTTAGTCTTCTGATGCACTTGTACGTTCGGTTCTACTAGTTAAACAAGGAAAATATTCAAGAAACACTGGTAAATTATCGTTGTCAAAAAACATTTCAGTGCTGAGGCAGTACAAGGTCTCTAGGGCAAGGTCAAGTTGTCGATTCATTACATTTTACAGTACTTCGGAATGTTTTCGAACTCTTGCTTCATACAAGAGCAGTAAACGCACGCATTTCAAAGCGAAATTAGACGCAAAGGGGCAATTTTTCAACAAAATTCATTGTTAAATTATGTTTCCTATGTGCCTTGGGAGCAAAAAAATATGATTTTAAATTTGGAGGAATCGGTAAATTTTTTTTCAATTTGGCCTGGTATTGCACCCTACCTATGTAATGACTGTGCTGTAAAAGTAATCAAATATACTATTTTGAATTTCCCTTCATTGAAAGGATCTACTATTGTGGACTAAACTAAATTTTAATCAGCATACAAGGCTGCAAACAACAGCCAAGAATTAGCTGGATAGTTTGCAAACTTTAAAAATAATTGGACCTCAAACTTTGATCCCAAAAAGTAAACAAATGACCAATACTTCGAACATAATCCAAGTTTTGACCACTAGGGGCAATTTTTAGATGTAAAAAAACTTGTTTAAATTACATATCAAACAAAGGCAAAACAAAATTTGGAATTAATTTTTTGGAGGAAACGTCAAGGTTTTTTGCTATCTGTGCACGCTTCTACACCCCCTCCCCCAGGACCTTCTCTATCAGAAAACAGTTTTCTGCAGAAACTATGCTCTTTTTTATCGGGAAAATTTTTGCTTTTCTCAAAAAAATACTTTAGAAACACAGAAACATTAAATATTTAAATAATTTTCATACCTTTTTGGGATTGCAAATAGCAAAATTTGATTCATTATCACACTTTTTAAAATATATGTGACAAAGTTGCTTCGAAATCACTATCACGCAGTAGCATGTTTATTTACCCTCATCCTTTTGACTGAATAAAGTTTATCTTTTTGAAAAGCTATTTGTTTTATAACTCTTGGTTAGCAGTTTACGTTTATGTCAATTTTGGCACCCATGAGGCCAACAAGTTATGGTAATCTGCGAATGAAAACTGATATTCGAAAAGCACAAAAGCCAACTCCTAGCTATGTAACTTTATCGCCTGAATTTTGAATCAATCCACAATTAAATTTCTGGTAATGTAGATGCTTTCCATACTTGAAATGTTAGTGAAGTTTTTCCAACAATTTAATTTCCTTGATCGCCGTCTTAACAATGCAAAATCATCAGTTGAAATTTCACTCGTGTTGTTTTTTCAAATTTTCGAATATTTGTAAAATATCGCGTGCGCCAGCAATTTCTCTGCAAAGCGACAACAAATTTCCCAGCTGTTGCAATATTAGGGAAATTTACCTTTGGATGAGGAAGCACTGACTAAACAAAATGGCGTCCACTTGTTCGGAAAATTTAAAAAAAAACTTTAAAAAAAAAGTTAAAACCGACCTACCCTACCTAAGTTTTTTTATAAGAAGAAACAGGAAACCCACATTTTTTTTGGCCTTACTAAAGTTGGAGGTTTCAATTTTTTGTCTTGCTTGAGAGAGAGAGTTGGGGATTGAATATATTTTGTTGTTGAATCTGGTCAAAGTTATTTAGGTTTCAAGTATCGAACATTGCTGTCACATATGATGATGGTTTCTGACTCTGTATCGATTGGTTTTTGGTGGTCAGTGTTTGTTTCAGGTAGTGAACTTGTCTTTGGTTGGACAGTGGGAGGGAGGTCTTGCCGAGTACTGTCATTCTGTTGGACTCTGTCTTCTAGATTTTTTGAATTTTCTTCCTTGTTTTCTTTGTACATCAACTCTAAGTGTTTATTTGTATCATCACCTTCACTTGTTACATCATCGGTTAGAAGATCAAATGCATTATACGTTGCGATACTGTATTCTTTAGTGATATTAGGTGGTGGTGGAGATATTAAAGGAATAGAGATATAAATAGTGGAAACCGTCCTGTCCTCATCAGTACTTCTGTGAGTGGTGAGCAGCCGTCAACTAGTCATCATGATGTTCAAGGTCAGCCTACGAGTCAGACATATACATGTACTATATAAAGTACAAGTATAAAAGTATTACTGTAATACAGCAAACTACATTAACTAACAGTAAATGATTGCAAGTCAAAAAGCTTACGTGCAGTGTTTAATCACTGTTTATACATATAAGTATCTACTTTATTTACAAATGAAATTAAAGCGACATCTTGCAGTTTGGTTTTTATTTTAATCATACGATTAAAATAAAAACCGAACTGCAAGATGTCGCTTTATAAATATTTAGTCGGAAGATGTACACCGTTTTAAAGATGGCAAATCTACAGGAATGTATTAAACTGACTGTGGTGGATGTTATTTTTTTGCAGTATACCGCTGGTCAAAATCTATTGAATATTTTTCAGACTGAAAAATCAGACCACATGCTTATATTTTAGAGACAAGCTGGTTGGAAATACGAGGCGCAGCCAAATTTTTGTGCCTACGTAAAAGAACTCATTACTCGCTGGGGCACCTGTGCCCCAGGCAAGTATAGGTTTCAGCATGCATTTTTCTTGGATCATCGACACCCACAAAATAGAATATTAATGAGCTGCTTAATTCCCCCCAATTATCCATAAGGGCTCCTGCCAATTTTACCCAAATTATCCATAAATAACCCTGCTTTGAGGAAAATTCGGGAAAATTTAACAATTTTACAAGGAATTTCGACATGGAAACAGTAACCTTCGCAAATCGCAAGTCATGTTTCGGCTGTGCTGCTTTATATTTTGAGAAGAAAGCAACACTGCAATTCAGCGTAAGCAATTGCACTTACGGATGTCAAGTATATTACTAAACACCAGTATTCTAGCGGTTTATGGCCTTTGAAAATCAAGCGAAATTGTATTGTTGACAATTAATCACTTGCAGTATGTATAATTTGTTGACAAATCACCCGCACTACGTTTGCCCTTGTATTTGTAATGCCTAATGGTGCAATAAGGACAAAAATACCACCGTTCGATTCAGTGTAAGAAATTGTACTTACGGATTTCAAATGTATTACTAAGCACCAGTACTCTAGAGATTTATGGCCTTTCACAATCAAGCGAAATTGTATTGTTGACAAATCGCTCGCAGTACACTGTCAGCCTGGTGTTGGTCCATACGCTAGGATTAAACTGTGCTTTAAAACGTTCAAAATAAAATATTTTGGGCTCAAAATACTATCAAAATAAAGAGAGAAGTGAGACGAATCCACTGCCCACTGGTATACGGCTGAAAAAGAGAAAACCAAAGTTATCAAGGATCAAACATACTGCATTTTTTTATAATTAATAGTTTAATCATTTTGAGCGATTTGTCAACAGACAACAATACAATTTCGCTTGGCTTTCAAAGACAAAGGCCATAAATCGCTAGAATACTGGTGTTTAGTAATACATTGACATCCGTAAGTACAATTTCTTATGCTGAATCGAACAATGGTATTTTTCACAAATACAAAGTTGGACAAACGGCGAATTCATGATTTGTCAACAGTGTCTTGAAGAATGTAGTGTACTAAATATAACTTTACTTCTAGGGCCTACTGCATTTTAGTACTGTGTTAAACCCTTTCGCGCTCGTATTCGTCTTTTATGCTTAGCTCAGGGAAAACCTTAAATCTTAATTGAAATAGCTGTGTACTGTATGTATCATGTACAGAAATGTGCGTATTCAGCAGTATAGCCCCAGAAATATAGCGTCTTGTTTCATGTTAAATTTCATGTCAAAAGAAGATCGGAACTCGGTCACCCAATTCCCGGTCCCGATTTTGATAAAGCAAGTCCCAAATGATGAGTTCTTACTTTGATCTCTACCTTCACGATTATTTTCACACTCGTCTCATGTTAAATGTCTGCAGTTTAACGCTACAGAAATACACAATTACTTCTTCAGGTTGATTAAGAAGTGAAACAGGCGTCATGGACAGGTCGATAGGGTTCACAAACTGAATTTGAAATTTCCACTTTTACCGTGTCCTTTCAAATTTGTTTAGGCCAAGATTTTCTCCAAGCAATATGTCAAGCAGCACCATAACATCACTAGCCAAATTCCTAGAATATACCACGCGACCCAGTACAAAGAACATTGTTCTCACAGCGAACTAATTTCTCAGTTAACGACACTCCTGCACATCACAGTGCAGCCAACTTAAATTGACATGAAACATTCAAAGAAAAATAGAAGGGGTTTAAGTCTGCAAAAAAGTGCCCTGGGTGCAGTCCCCGTTTTCCAACACGGTAATTTTGCAAAACCACACAGCAAATTCCACCCTATGCGATCTGAGCAAAATGAGCATGTTTGCAACAATTTGTACCTCGGTGGTTTCGTGAGCAGATTGGTCATGTTTCCGGGCCAGTTTATATCCAAATGCTTCATCCTCATATCCACCTTCGCATTCTGTTTAAGAATTATTACCATTATCAAAATGTGTTGTCTATAAAAAATATCATTTTTCGTGTCTGGGTAAAATTTTTGTTGAAACTGGAAAACCATTAAATAAATAATTATGTGTACTTTACATCAGCGTACATCAAGTAATTACCTTTGTCACTGTAAAAACATTTAGGGCAGTAAACCTTTGTATAGCCATTCTCAGTAATTTGGACACTGCTGGACTGCAGCTCTACGACATAACCACAGACTGGACAAGGTTTTTCATAGACAGAACCTTCGCCCACCATATTTTTGAACAAGCTCTAAACATGAAGCACAAAGTTTTAAACATTAAAAAATATCTATGATCATCAATCAAGATTCACTTCACATAGGAAGTGTTTATCTGTATCCATAGAAGCATCACTTTCATTGCCTGTTTCGTTTACCTTATCACACGTATATCGATTACCTTTCGTTTACCTTATCAGACGTATATCACAAAAGCTAAATGTTTTTAATTTTAATTTTTTTTTCATTATGCCAGCAATTTGTATCCTTCTCATTTTGCCATTTTTGTCTCAACTGGGTTTATTAGCTAATTCAAACATCACCTCCATAACTTTGAACTGGGCTGGCCGATGAAGTGTTTGATGAGTCCTTGAAATTATGAGCTCTTACCTTGATCTGCACCTCATCATTATTTCCACACTCATATTCACCTTCATCATCAAAAATTTTCGAAGTTGAATGATGATCACTACGAACTATACATCTTTGCAGTGTTGGTGAGACAATGCTTTGTGTGTGGCTGTGCTGAAAACTCACGATAATGCTATGCATCTGTTCGCTTTGGCTTGTTCCCATCACAGTTGCAAGTCATAACTCTGTTGCTTTTATACACATACGGAATGATGCCCCTCCAGGACAATTCTTTCAATGTTTTCTTCTGGAATTATCCAGTGCTACCCTCCTGAAATTCCCCACAATCTTGGTTTTTTCCCATTGCACCAACCAGCAACTCCAGAAGATAACGTTCATCCTCACCACCTTCGCATGGTCCGGGGCCTAGGATTGGAACAACAATTTTCAAAATGAATTGTCTTTAAGACAATCGTATATGTTGCAAAAGCTAAATGTTTTTAATTTTTCCTGTTTTTTTTTTTTCATTTTACAAGCAACTTGTATTGTTCTCATTTTGCCATTTTTGGATCACTGGCAATATTCTTGTTCTTCTTGTTAGAGGCGAAGCTCTTTGACAAAACCCCAAGGCTTTCTCATTACTTGTCCGATTACTCACATTACCAATCTAATACTTAGCAACTACAAAATACTTTACTCCAATACAAAGATAAACAAAAATCGACTATTATTAATGGAAGCACCTTTCATTAAATCTTTTAAACCAGAAGTTAACAATGGCCTCAAAGCCAGAAAAGAACTATCACTTTTCGAACTCACTCCTCCTGCTCAAACCACTAATCCTTCTCAGCACTCTCATGCTTCCGCTCAATCGCCTTCCTGTTGATGATGTGACTGCACACTTGTATATAAAGAAAATGAGTCGAACACCTTTGTATGATCCTAGCATTGAAATGAGCAACAATGGGTTGTCTTTAAGAATTATTACCATTATCAAAATGCGTTGTCTATAAAAATATCATTTTTTGTGTCGGGGTAAAATTTTTGCTGAAACTGGAAAACTGTTAATAAATACTTATGTGTACTTTACATCAGCGTACATCAAGTAATTACTTTTATCACTGTAAAACATTTAGGGCAGTTAAACTGCTCATCCTCACAGTAAACCTTTGTACAGCCATTCTCAGTGATGTGGACACTGATTGACTGCAGCTCTACGACATAACCACAGTCTGGACAAGGTTTTTCATAAACAGAACCTTTGCCATATTTTTGAACAAGCTCTAAACATAAATCCCAAAGTTTTAAACATTAAAAAATATCTATGATCATCAATCAAGTTTCACTTCACATAGGAAGTGTTTATCTGTATCCATAGAAGGATGACTTTCATTGCCTGTTTCGTTTACCTTATCACATGTATATCGACCACGCTGACAAAAGCTAAATGTTTTTAATTTTTCTTTTTTTTTGATTATGCAAGCAATTTGTATTCTTCTCATTTTGCCATTTTTGTCTCAACTGGGTGTATTAGCTAATTCAAACATCACCTCCATAACTTTGGACTGGGCTGGCCGATGAAGTGTTTGATGAGTATTTGAAATGATGAGCTCTTACCTTGATCTGCACCTCATCATTATTTCCACACTCATATTCACCTTCATCATCAAAAATTTTCGAAGTTGAATGATAATGATCAATACGAACTATACATCTTTGCAGTGTTGGTGAGACAATGCTTTGTGTGTGGCTGTGCTGAAAACTCACAATAATGCTACGCATCTGTTCGCTTTGGCTTGTTCCCATCACAGTTGCAAGTCATAACTCTGCTGCTTTTGTACACGTACGGAATGATGCCCCTCCAGGACAATTCTTTCAATGTTTTCTTCTGGAATTATCCAGCGCTACCCTCCTGAAATTCCCCACAATCTTGGTTTTTTCCCATTGCACCAACCAGCAACTCCAGAAGATAACGTTCATCCTCACCACCTTCGCATGGTCCGGGGCCTAGGATTGGAACAACAATTTTCAAAATGAATTGTCTTTAAGGAGGCTCCCTACAGTTCCGTGCGGGATGTTCGCGGGATAATTACGTGAACTATCCCACGCAACTGCATGATCAAAACAAAACAAAAATTGACCATGCTTTTTTTAAAAATAAAGCTATTTCTGAAAGGTTTCTAATGGAAAAAAGCGTTGAATAATACTTCGTTTTCAGTGCCAAATCACTTGCAAGTCTATACAGCAATTCTACATATGATACGAATATCACTAGACCAAAAATAGCTACGAAACAATATTTTTAAAATTTTTTTATACACTGTCAATTGACTCAACTGTAAAACATTTGCAAAATTGCAAACAGACGTTTAAAAAGTTGTTTATTTCTCAAGAAAACGTTCACGTTTTTAGTCGTGTTTCTACAAGATTAAAGTGATTATATGTAAACAGAAAAATATTTCAGTTTCATAGCCTAATTGTTCATTTTTAGCAAAAAGTACAAAACCAAACATGAAACAAAAAAAACACGTCCACCTGTTAATAGGCTGTTACAGCTCATAGATTGAGTAAACGGCAGGATTCAATTAGCTTCAACCTTGTTTTCATCGATTTAATCCTTCACAATAATTCTTGGCTGTCCATAGCACTCAAATAAATCGAAAAGTTGACAAAAACAAAACAGTAAAAACAACATTGCGGCTCGCTTTTGCTGAATGAAAACTCGTTTTGCGCCCGCGTACAATCTTTTACTAGTCAGCGACGCTTTTCAATAGGGGAATTTCTCGAGTTACACGAGGCTATTTTCTAACTTTATTTGCATTTTACTCATTAGTTTCATCGGTGACCTATCTTCAAATTTTGACCACAAATTTATTTTGCGGTAAATTTTATAAATTTCAAATTTTAAAAAAATCTGTAGTGTGGAAATTTCGCAATAAATTTTTCGCTTTTAAAAAAATCACACACTACAGAATTTTTTTAAACTTTCACCACACTTGCAGAGCATCATTCCTTATTGATATATGAAATAAAAAAGATAGGTCACCGACATCGTTTTTGAGATAGCGGCACATTTATGGGTTAAATTGGAAGGTTTTATGCTGTCGTCGTGTTGCCATGGGAACATTGACATCGTCGAAATCTAGTTCGAAATATTCCTTAGGTGATCAATATTGCCACCAAGTCGAAAAGAATTCGCGTTCTGCACGAATAAGCATGTTTTATGGAATTATTGCTTAAACAAGAATAACTGTAGGGAGCCACCTTAAGACAATCGTATATATTGCAAAAGCTAAATGTTTTTAATTTTTCCTGGGTTTTTTTCATTTTACAAGCAACTTGTATTGTTCTCATTTTGCCATTTTTGGATCACTGGTAATATTCTTGTTCTTCTTGTTAGAGGCGAAGCTCTTTGACAAAACCCCAAGGCTTTGTCATTACTTGTCCGATTACTCACATTACCGATCTAATACTTACAACTACAAAATACTTTACTCCAATACAAAGGTAAACAAAAATCGACTATTATTAATGGAAGCACCTTTCATTAAGTCTTTTAAACCAGAAGTTAACGATGGCCTCAAAGCCAGAAAAGAACTATCACTTTTCAAACTCACTCCTCCTGCTCAAACCACTAATCCTTCTCAGCACTTTCATGCTTCCGCTCAATTGCCTTCCTATTGATGATGTCATTGCACACTTGTATATAAAGAAAAAGAGTCGAACACCTTCGTATGATCCTACCATTGAAACGAGCAACAATGGGTTGTCTTTAAGAATTATTACCATTATCAAAATGCGTTGTCTATAAAAATATCATTTTTTGTGTCTCGGTAAAATTTTTGCTGAAACTGGAAAACTGTTAATAAATACTTATGTGTACTTTACATTAGCGTACATCAAGTAATTACTTTTGTCACTGTAAAAGATTTAGGGCAGTGAAACTGCTCATCCTCACAGTAAACCTTTGTACAGCCATTCTCAGTGATGTGGACACCGATTGACAGCAGCTGTACGACGTAACCACAGTCTGGACAAGGTTTTTCATAAACAGAACCGTTGCCATATTTTTGAACAGGCTCTAAACATGAAACCCAAATTTTTAAACATTAAAAAATATCTATGATCATTAATCAAGTTTCACTTCAAATAGGAAGTGTTTATCTGTATCCATAGAAGCATCACTTTCATTGCCTGTTTTGTTTACCTTATCAGACGTATATCGATCACTCTCACAAAAGCTAAATGTTTTTAATTTTTCTTTTTTTTCATTATGCAAGCAATTTGTATTCTTTTCATTTCGCCATTTTTGTCTCAACTGGGTTTATTAGCTAATTCAAACATCACCTCCATAACTTTGGACTGGGCTGGCCGATGAAGTGTTTGATGACTTTTGAAATGACGAGCTCTTACCTTGATCTGCACCTCATCATTATTTCCACTCATATTCACCTTCATCATCAAAAGTTTTCGAAGTTGAATGATAATGATCACTACGAACTTACACATCTTTGCAGTGTTGGTGAGACAATGCTTTGTGTGTGGCTGTGCTGAAAACTCACGATAATTCTATGCATCTGTTCGCTTTGGCTTGTTCCCATCACAGTTGCAAGTCATAACTCTGTTGCTTTTGTACACATACGCAATGATGCCCCTCCAGGACAATTCTTTCAATGTTTTCTTCTGGAATTATCCAGCGCTACACTCCTGAAATTCCCCACAATCTTGGTTTTTTCCCATTGCACCAACCAGCAACTCCAGAAGATAACGTTCATCCTCACCACCTTCGCATGGTCCGGGGCCTAGGATTGGAACAACAATTTTCAAAATGAATTGTCTTTAAGACAATCGTATATATTGCAAAAGCTAAATGTTTTTAATTTTTCCTGTTTTTTTTTTCATTTTACAAGGAACTTGTATTGTTCTCATTTTGCCATTTTTGGATCACTGGTAATATTCTTGTTCTTCTTGTTAGAGGCGAAGCTCTTTGACAAAACCCCAAGGCTTTGTCATTACTTGTCCGATTACTCACATTACCGATCTAATACTTACAACTACAAAATACTTTACTCCAATACAAAGGTAAACAAAAATCGACTATTATTAATGGAAGCACCTTTCATTAAGTCTTTTAAACCAGAAGTTAACGATGGCCTCAAAGCCAGAAAAGAACTATCACTTTTCAAACTCACTCCTCCTGCTCAAACCACTAATCCTTCTCAGCACTTTCATGCTTCCGCTCAATTGCCTTCCTATTGATGATGTCATTGCACACTTGTATATAAAGAAAAAGAGTCGAACACCTTCGTATGATCCTACCATTGAAACGAGCAACAATGGGTTGTCTTTAAGAATTATTATCAAAATGCGTTGTCTATAAAAATATCATTTTTTGTGTCTGGGTAAAATTTTTGCTGAAACTGGAAAACTGTTAATAAATACTTATGTGTACTTTACATCAGCGTACATCAAGTAATTACTTTTGTCACTGTAAAACATTTAGGGCAGTGAAACTGCTCATCCTCACAGTAAACCTTTGTACAGCCATTCTCAGTGATGTGGACACCGATTGACAGCAGCTCTACGACGTAACCACAGTCTGGACAAGGTTTTTCATAAACAGAACCGTTGCCATATTTTTGAACAGGCTCTAAACATGAAACCCAAATTTTTAAACATTAAAAAATATCTATGATCATTAATCAAGTTTCACTTCAAATAGGAAGTGTTTATCTGTATCCATAGAAGGATCACTTTCATTGCCTGTTTCATTTACCTTATCAGACGTATATCGATCACGCTGACAAAAGCTAAATGTTTTTAATTTTTCTTTTTTTTCATTATGCAAGCAATTTGTATTCTTCTCATTTCGCCATTTTTGTCTCAACTGGGTTTATTAGCTAATTCAAACATCACCTCCATAACTTTGGACTGGGCTGGCCGATTTAGTGTTTGATGGCTTTTGAAATGATGAGCTCTTACCTTGATCTGCACCTCGTCATTATTTCCACACTCGTCTTCACCTTCATCATCAAAAATTTTCGAAGTTGAATGATAATGATCAATACAAACTATACATCTCTGCAGTGTTGGTGAGACAATGCTTTGTGTGTGGCTGTGCTGAAAACTCACGATAATGCTATGCATCTGTTCGCTTTGCCTTGTTCCCATCACAGTTGCAAGTCATAACTCTGTTGCTTTTGTACATGTACCGAATCATGCCCCTCCAAGACAATTCTTTTAATGTTTTCTTCTGAAATTATCCAGCGCTACCCTCCTGAAATTCCCCACGAACTTGGTTTTTTCCCATTGCACCAACCAGCAACTCCACAAGATAACATTCATCCTCACCACCTTCGCATGGTCCGGGGCCTAGGATTGGAACAACAATTATCAAAATGAATTGTCTTTAAGACAATCGTATATATTGCAAAAACCAAATATGTTTTTAATTTTTCCTGTTTTTTTATTAATTTTACAAGCAATTTGTATTGTTCTCATTTTGCCATTTTTGGATCACTGGTAATATTCTTGTTCTTCTTGTTCGAGGCGATGCTCTTTGACAAAACCCCAAGGCTCTGTCATTACTTGTCCGATTACTCACATTACCGATCTAATACTTAGCAACTACAAAATACTTTACTCCAATACAAAGGTAAACAAAAACTGACTATTATTAATGGAAGCAGCTTTCATTAAATCTTTTAAACCAGAAGTTAACCAATGGCCTCAAAGCCAGAAAAGAACTATCACTTTTCGAACTCACTCCTCTTGCTCAAACCACTAATCCTTCTCAGCACTCTCACACTTCCGCTCAATCGCCTTCCTGTTGATGATGTCACTGCACACTTGTATATAAAGAAAATGAGTCGAACACCTTCATATGATCCTAGCATTGAAACGAGCAACAATGGGTTGTCTTTAAGAATTATTACCATTATCAAAATGCGTTGTCTGTAAAAATATCATTTTTTGTGTCGGGGTAAAATTTTTGCTGAAACTGGAAAACTGTTAATAAATACTTATGTGTACTTTACATCAGCGTACATCAAGTAATTACTTTTGTCACTGTAAAACATTTAGGGCAGTTAAACTGGTCATCCTCGCAGTAAACCTTTGTACAGCCATTCTCAGTGATGTGGACACGGATTGACTGCAGCTCTACGACATAACCACAGTCTGGACAAGGTTTTTCATAAATAGAACCTTTGCCATATTTTTCAACAAGCTCTAAACATGAAGCCCAATTTTTAAACATTAAAAAAATATATATGATCTTCAATCAAGTTTCACTTCACATAGGAAGTGTTTATCTGTATCCATAGAAGCATCACTTTCATTGCCTGTTTCGTTTACCTTATCAGACGTATATTGATCATGCTCACAAAAGCTAAATGTTTTTAATTTTTCTTTTTTTTTTCATTATGCAAGCGATTTGTATTCTTCTCATTTTGCCATTTTTGTCTCAACTGGGTTTATTAGCTAATTCAAGGATCACCTCCATAACTTTGGACTGGGCTGGCCGATGAAGTGTTTGATCAGTCTTTGAAATGATGAGCTCTTACCTTGATCTGCACCTCGTCATTATTTCCACACTCATTTTCACCTTCATCATAAAAAATTTTCGAAGTTGAATGATAATGATCAATACGAACTATACATCTTTGCAGTGTTGGTGAGACAACGCTTTGTGTGTGGCTGTGCTGAAAACTCACGATAATGCTATGCATCTGTTCGCTTTGGCTTGTTCCCATCACAGTTGCAAGTCATAACTCTGTTGCTTTTGTACACGTACCGAATGATGCCCCTCCAAGACAATTCTTTCAATGTTTTCTTCTGGAATTATCCAGCGCTACCCTCCTGAAATTCCCCATGAACTTGGTTTTTTCCCATTGCACCAACCAGCAACTCCAGAAGATAACGTTCATCCTCACCACCTTCGCATGGTCCGGGGCCTAGGATTGGAACAACAATTATCAAAATGAATTGTCTTTAAGACAATCGTATATATTGCAAAAGCTAAATGTTTTTAATTTTTCCTGTTTTTTTTTTCATTTTACAAGCAATTTGTATTGTTCTCATTTAGCCATTTTTGGATCACTGGTAATATTCTTGTTCTTCTTGTTAGAGGCGACGCTCTTTGAAAAAACCCCAAGGCGCTCTGTCATTACTTGTCCGATTACTCACATTACCGATCTAATACTTAGCAACTACAAAATACTTTACTCCAATACAAAGGTAAACAAAAATTGACTATTATTAATGGAAGCAGCTTTCATTAAATCTTTTAAACCAGAAGTTAACAATGGCCTCAAAGCCAGAAAAGAACTATCACTTTTCGAACTCACTCCTCCTGCTCAAACCACTAATCCTTCTCAGCACTCTCATGCTTCCGCTCAATCGCCTTCCTGTTGATGTCACTGCACACTTGTATATAAAGAAAATGAGTCGAACACCTTCATATGATCCTAGCATTGAAACAAGCAACAATGGGTTGTCTTTAACTCAATTCAATCCGCCAATATTAATATCGGACGTATATGACGGGAAGATTAAATATTAAAGAACTTCGCGAGTATTTGCAGTAGACATACGAAAATAGCACCAAAAAATTCCGCTTGATCGATACTATATATTCAGAAATATTCATATAATTTTATTGTTTCTCGCTCAATTTCAGGCGAATTTCTTACCTTGAAATGATCAATGCGGTGAAATTTATGCAAATGACACATTATCAATTTTGCTGTTGTATTTTGAATGTTCTGCCTGATTCAAATGCTCGTCTTTTTGTTTCTTTTCAACGTATAATAATAACAAATATACGAAAAGAATCGCCATCTTCCATTCTATAGCTTGGAGCAGTCTCGGGAAATTGCAAAATAATCTAAGCCTATTATGGCAATTCTCGTGATCGGAAAGTGTTCGGCCAACTTCGGACCCCAAATTCTTGGTAAAGCATTACAGTTTCCTGGTAAAGGACTTCAGGAATCACTTCCGGAGTGTTTGTTTACCCTAGATGCGGATTTTGATTGGCTTAGGCAGAAAAGCAAATCTTTTAGAGCAATTTTCCAGATTATCGCGCACGGGAACGCACGATCGTTGAAATGTATTGTGTTGTAGTTTTGTTTGAATTGCATTCTGAAGACGTTTTTGGCTCTATTTTGCAAACTGATGGTGCTAGTAATGATGGAATGTCTTCGTATGAAGACAAGTATCTCAACCTGGCATTGGGAGTCGTGTCTGGATTCTTAGGCGAATCTCTGATTCCTAGGCAAAGTAAAATGAGCCTTGAGCACATGTTTGGTTGTTTGTTACATACATAATAGCCAAGCATTCATACTTATATCTTACTAGTTTGGCTCTTATTATAATTTTAAGTGACACCATGTCTATAAAAGTTTGTATTTGCACTGATGAATATATTGATCTTGTTCCTATCTGCTGTTCCTGTCTCATAGCCTCAGGGAAGTAGAGTTCTGATGAGTCATGAGAACCCCACTCACCAACCCAGAAGGAAGGTAGGGGGATAAGTAGAGGTAGAGGGAAGCCCAGCCATTAGGACCTAAGGTTTCGAAAGCTCCCTGTCTAGCATCCCCACTAGGCCTCATAGTAGATGACGGATATGATGATCCTGACGCTAGGAATGTTCTCCCAGATTTTGCTCCTCACTGACATGTCCGGGATCCATTTTAATCAACTGTGAGCTTGAGTTCATTCGGCTCAATGAAGTGTGAGCTTGAGTTCATTTGACTCTTTTTTACTAAGGAGGTAGTTTCCTGGCCATATCAATACATATGCCCACATACAAATAACTCAAAAGTTATCCTCATATACTAATAAAGAAGGGTCTTGCAGTCCACCAACCTTGAGAGGTTGATTGCCTTTTAGTATATGCAGGTTTGCTAAAGGTCAACAGTCCGATTGAAAATTACTGGAGTGTAAAAACCTTATATCATGGTCTGTGGGCAATAGAAATAATTTCTCGGGTTAGGTACAAAGCGCTTATGGCATTTGTGAATATGGTAGATCCTGTACTAAAGACTACAGCAATAAACTGGATCAACAACTGTACCAGCCATCACAGAATATTGTTGTTGCAGACAAACACACTGTCAAATCAAGAAATAGGTTGGGGGTTAGGCAGTTCATGAAAGCTAGATGACCTACTATGTGGGGAATAAATCTGTGGGTTGCTGCAGACAATCCTAATGGTTATATTGCGACTTTGAAATTTATACAGGAAGAAGTCCAGATATTCATTGCAACAGGTTTGGGTATGACGTGGTGATCTGATATCAGTTTGGTTACAGTCTTAGGTCTTTTGTAGTACAATATAAAGGAAATATTTTCACCACATAATCCAATTATGTGCTTTGGCAAACATTACTGCTTTAGCAAACATTACTGCCTTGGAAAACATTACTTTTTTATAACTACTAATTATGATGATGCCAGCCCAACAACACTTGGTCATGCTATTTGCAAATATTTTCATGTTCTAGATTGTGAAAACAATCAATTTCTAATCAAATGAGTAGTGATTATTTCAAATTTGAATAGCATGACCAAATTTTGAGGCTGGTTATGCCACTAATAACTAAAGTCAATGGTGTAATGATTATCTAAGAATGTATGTAGTAATTGTAGAAATAAAAACATTTTGCTAATCATGATTTGAGTGTTCTTTTGTGGGTATCACAGACTTATTTTGGTGCCATACTATCTTTGGAGAGTAAAAAATATTGGAAATTTGTATTGATAACATGTTGCAGCAATAAAAAAGGACTTTTGATAAAGGTATTTGTTTCATGTGGGCACAAAATGTAAATTTTACTCTACTACCTAGTTTATATAAAAATTCAATAAAAATATTTCTATTTATGCTACATGCATGAAACTTCGGGTACTTGTAGATCATAACCGTGTCTTTCAGTCATATTCATAAATTTTTTGACATATTTGAAATTTGAACCGCTAAATACATTTATGCATAATTGCAACATTTTTTTATATCATAATTTATGCAAATTTATGCGAGTAAATCGTTAACCAAGCTCCGGATGAAATTGAAATTGGTATCGTTGGAAAGCAGA